GAAGAGGTAAACAATGAGCATTTTCAAGAACCAGAGTGGAGTAACATGGTGTGGTTACAGCCCCTTGAATCCCACATGAAGACGCAAAAATAACAAATATTTCTTCGAGTGGCAGTGACTGGTAAGACTGCACGTGGACTGTTAGACCCCATAGGGTTTTTTACTATAATGGTGAGTAAAACACTACTTTTTTTCTAGCTAGGCGGAAGTGATAAAATACGAAAGATAACCGGTTACAATACAATCAGGCTTACCCAGTAGACGGCTGCGAAATAAGTCAAACTCACACCAAACCGAAAAAATTCAAATTCAATTTACCACGGTCCAACTCCAAAGTTTATAGAAGTTTGAAACGTGGTTACTTGTTGACAAGATGTTCGCTACACCTTTCCACGGTCTTGACAGTTTACACGGGGTGTGGAAAAAAACCTGGCCTAGGCCAAGGCCTACCCTAGGCCATGGCCTACCCTAGGCAATGGCCTACCCTGTGGCCTACCCTGTGGCCTACCCTGTGGCCTTTCCTGTGGCCTACCCTTTGGCCTACCCTGTGGCCTACCCTATGGCCTACCGGTGGTCAGATTTTTAAAAGGATAGTATTGCTGGAAACCTTTCAACGTTTTCCTGAATACTGTCTTACCAATGACTTCTGCTGTTTTGGCGGCCAAATTCTGATCAAAATTTCTTAACCTTCTGATAGATTAAGGAAATCGAGGAAAAGAAACTGGTTAAAGGCAACTTTTGGGCAAACATCATATCAGCTCTCCTTTCAAATTAGTGCAATACTGGCCCTTTCTTTGGAAAAGCAAGTAAAGTTTGTGAAATGTTTACGACGGCGATGCATGCGTGTCCCGGGGTGCTTATTGCAAATTCAATACTCCACAGCACTTGAGGGCACTTAAAAGACTGGCCTGGCACGTAATGTTTGCGTTTTCTTACCTGGATACGTATGCTCTCCAAAATAACGCCGTTCACTACATTTTTACACCAGCACTCCACTATATGTTACCAACTGACAGCCTGTATAATAAAGCCGCCATTTTGTATATCCTCTGCGACCACGCAATATTGGCCCCTCCTCTCCCCTCCCCCTTAACCTACTGGTACCGTTATGGTTGAGTGCTGTGATACTTGCAGTGTTTCGCTCCCTCGGACGTTGAAAATCGTGTTAGCGACCTCTTAGTATACCCTTTTGAGAGACAGATAATTGTACACCAGCCTATTCGTTCGACTCTTACTTATTTTATTTTTATGTTCTTAAAAATCTGACCACCGGTAGGGCATAGGGTAGGCCATAGGGTTGGCCACCGGGTAGGCCACAGGGTAGGCCACAGGGTAGGCCATGGCCTGGGACAGGTTTTTTCCACACCCGTTTACGCGAACCTTTTTTCTCTTGTTATATTCGATTATCGGTCTACAATAATCCGTTGAAAATACCCGCAAAGGCGTCTTTCCCTTCAAAGTCTTGTTCACAGCTGTGGTATGTAAAACCGAGCCAATTAGTGATCGGAAAGTAAATGATGGCTATTGCTGTGTCAACTCATTTTGCCATCCTTGGATTTTATAAATTTTGGTCAAAATATCGTTAATCGGAAGTCATGTTAGCAGCCAATTTATCCCAGTTAATATTTCAAAGATCATTATAATGGCCTTTAGACCCAACTACTTTGATCTCTGATGAATGCAGAAGTTGCTCGTAAATACCAGGAGCGTGTGGCTTCAGTTTATTATGCTTTTGAAACTCGATATTGACTTACCTCTCAGAAGATTTAGAACAGAAGAAAGAGGCAGAACAAGGACTGAAATGAAAGAAAAAAGGATTAAAAATTAATTTTACAGAATCTTCAAACACCTTCAAATGCGGCAATTTTAAAATATAAATGTCTTCGGCGCGGAGTTAGTTTGAGATGTTTCCTTATTTTAAATTTTCTCCTCCACGAGAATAAGGCATTCATATTTTCATAGAATTTCTTCATTTTTGTACGCTTATCGTTTACTTTTGGCTCACAAACGGGTCTGAACAATGCAAATGGCGATACCTTTGCTGACATCGCTGTGTACACTCGTCCTCGGTTGCTATCACGTTCCCTCTGTGTAAACAACTTCTTCCTAACAAGAATGGTGTATCAAACCTAGTTGAACTCAGAGAGCTTGAAAGATTGGTTTCGTTCTGTGTTTTCTTTTTCGAGCTAGAAACTTTGATCTGTCCCCCAGGTTTAGCAACAACAGGCAGGATATTCCAATCCTCTACCTCTAGCGCATTATAGGGGTCCTCCGATGGAGATCTCGGCCTTGGACACTGTTTCATTTTTCCTCTGCTAGTGGGAGTTAGTAGCCCTTCATTCCAATAGCTGCTAGAAGTATTCTTTGCAGAGCCAGAGTAAACTGTCAGGTCAAAATCCTCTGCTCCAGGGGTGGGTGGGGGCAGTGGTGCATGCTGTGAATATTTCCCCAACTGCCTATTAGATTGACTGTTGCCAAGAAATAAGGGAGCACCTGAGTTTACTTTCGCGTTAGATTCTGCAATGAATCGAGTGCTTTTAGGCAACGGCCTCTGCACTACTGATATCTTCTGACAATTTTCTGGAGCAGCCACGTGGAAGTAGTGAGAATGCAACAACTTGTTCCTCTTTTGCCAGGAATGTAGCTCCTGTGGGCAGGCGGGAGGATCGCTTTCATCATTCAAAGTCAAGGCTAATTCATTTTCATTCCACAGCTCATCCAAGCTAAAGCAAGGCAGCTCATCATCAACCTGATCTAAAGAAAGGGTAAAACAATTAAAATCCTTAATCTTAGATATTATTTGTTTCCC